CTTTTGAGAATGTAGGCCTTAGGTTTTACACATGAAGTACTATGTTCCCTTTCAGAAAAGTATTTTCATTTTCATTTAAGTAGTTTGCTTTAATCATAATACAGAATCATTAAACAGAAAGTTAAAACATTAGTGCAGATATTTCTGTGAATCAGAAAAAATATAGAAGTTGGCAAAATTTTTTTTAAAAATGAACTCTTAGGCCTTTCTTAGATTCCGGAATGATTGCATCTATGATGGCAGCTTAGTTTTTTATTTTATTTTATTTATTTTATTTTATTTTATTTTATTTTATTTTATTTTATTTTATTTTATTTTATTTTATTTATATTTTTTAAATTTTTTTTTAAGATTTTATTTATTCATGAGAAACGGAGAGGGAGGCAGAGATATAGGCAGAGGGAGAAGCACGCTCCATGAAAGGAGCTGGATGTGGTGTGGGACTCAATCCCGGGTCTCCAAGATCACACCCTGGGCTGAAGGCGGCACTAAACCGCTTGAGCTGCCCGCGCTTAGTTTTTTAAATCTTTCTGAATTTCCACATCAAAATAGGTAGTAAATATAATTTACTACTATTTACTTATTGTCTAGTATATACTAGATAGTAAAACCAAACCCATGAAAACATTTGTAACAGAACTTGGTTGTGAGATATCACCACGAACCCCCAAATATAAACAAATGAGAACTAACCAAAAGAACCTACATATATCACTTTTAGTGCATAAGAAAGTAGAAAGAAGTATTGAGGTGTCTGGCCAGAATAGAGGTATCTCAAAAGTAGTGAACAACCAGCTTGAAAATGATTAAGTGTGATTGTCCAATTTGAAAGTGGGAGAGATTTTGCCTACTATATTATATATTAGATCCATGTAGAGGACTTGTGTTCTACAGTAACTTCAGCAGCCTTGCTCTGTGAACTCTCAAGACTGGCCTACCAGTGCTCCCTTCCAGGACCCTGCTGAGAAGTTTCTGGAATGGAATCACAATCGAACAGGATAGAGACAACAACATAGATGAGGAAAGAGAACCTCCAATAAAAATGATAGAGGATGGATGCTTGGGTGGCTCAGTGGTTTGAGCATCTGCCTTCAGCTTGGGTCGTGATCCCAGGGTCCTGGGATCCAGTCCCACATCGGGCTCCCCACAGGGAGCCTGCTTCTTCCTCTGCCTATGTCTCTGTTTCTCTCTGTGTCTCTCATGAATAAATAAAATAAGGTCTCAGAAAACAAAAACCAGAAAATCTTAGAAAACAAGTCATTGTATTTTTAAACATCACATGAAGATAACAGAAGAGGGAGCTTTATGAAGTTAGAACAGTTTTTTGAACCAAGCCATATTTTTAAAATTTAGGAAAATTAAATTCACAAAAGATCTTTCAGGAGTATTTTTAGGAGTGTTTTTACTTGTTTTGAGTCCTCTCAACAGTGTTCATATTGATCTGATGTTTGGTGCCAAAGTTTTAATTTTTTTAAAGAATTTATGGAGGTTTGTGAAATATTTCTCTATTGAAATCAAGTAAATGAAGATATTCTCTTATTATCTTTTTAAAGATTTTTTTGACTTTAATATTTACATTCAATCTATCTGAAATTGATTTTTGTTTATACTGTAAGGAGTCCAATTCCCTTTCCTTGGCATATAGATAATTAGCATCATGTAGTAGTGATATTTTTCTGCCTTCCTCAACTAATTAACAGGACTACTCTACTTTAAATCAAGTTATTTTATATTCATGGGCCTGTTTTTTAAATCCCTATTCTGTTACTTTGATGTGTTTGCCTACACCTGCACTAGTACTGAATTTTAATTACTGTACCTTTGTGCTAAATCTTGATGTCTGTCTTTCTTTTCATCTTGGTCTTCCTGAGTGTCTTGACTTTGTTTTGTTGTTCAATGATGAATTTATTATATATATATAACATTGAATTTATAAGCGGGATTTCATTGACTTCATTTTTACTTGGGGAAGAATTGATATGTTTATGATATTCTTCCTCTCCTGAATTCTTATTCAGGTCGTCTGTATTTTCTTTCAGTAAAGTTTTGTTGTATTTTTTTGTTTTTGTTTTGTTGTATTTTTAATACTGAACCCACAAATCTTTGATTAGACTTATGTACACAGTTTTGTTGCTTTTTTGATAAATGGTATTTTTAAAATTATACTTTATAGGTGTTATTGTGTTGACATACTGTTAACTTTTTTAATTGATTATTGTCTCAATGTTACTAAACTCTTTATTATAATTTATCTGTAGGTTCTTTGGGGATTTTCATATAAATAAACATCTGGAAATTACAGTTTTGATATTTTCATAATTTTTACAGCTTGAGTTTCTTTTCTGAATTAATACTTCTCATACATTGTTGCCTAGAAGTGTTAATAATAGAAATCTTTCTCTTGTCACTTGTCCTAAAAGCTTAAGTTGTCACCCATAAATATGATATTTGATGCAGTATTTTTTTTTAAAGGTTTTATTTATTTATTCATAGACATGCAGAGAGAGAGAGAGGCAGAGACACAGGCAGAGGGAGAAGCAGGCTCCATGCAGGGAGCCTGATGTGGGACTCCATCCAGGGTCTCCAGATCACGCCCTGGGCTGCAGGCGGTGCTAAACCGCTGCGCCACCGGGGCTGCCCTGATGCAGTATTTTTGATAGATACACTTTATCAGGATAAAGAAATTTTTTTCCCCTCTGGAACATAGCACCTTTTTTCATTTTTAAGGTTGTGAGCATAACTCTTTTCTCCTTATTTGTCAGTCTTGCTGGAGATTTGTAGTTTTACTAGGAATTTTTAGCTGTTATTTTTATTTTTTATACTCATTTTATATTCATTAATCTTTATTATTTTTTACTTCTTAGGATTTATTTTAATGTCTGTTAATCTTAAATTTGTTTTAATTTTTCAAACCTATGAGATTTTTCGAGTTATCTTTCTGTTAACTGATTTCTCACATAATTCCACTGTAGCTAGAGTGTGGTTAGAACGATATCACTTACTTGTTTACGAACTTGAACAAAATGCATATTGACCAATTGATGGGTGTATTGCCTGTGTTTCTCTTCACTAGATCCTCTTTGTTTTTTGTTTTTTTTTTTTTAAATTTTTTAAATTTTTATTTATTTATGATAGTCACAGAGAGAGAGAGAGAGGCAGAGACACAGGCAGAGGGAGAAGCAGGCTCCATGCACCCGAAGCCCGATGTGGGATTCGATCCCGGGTCTCCAGGATCGCGCCCTGGGCCAAAGGCAGGCGCCAAACCGCTGCGCCACCCAGGGATCCCTAGATCCTCTTTGTTAATCTTGTGTCTGTTATCTTCTTTACCCACATATTTACCAATTATTATTCACATATTATCATTATTCATTCCTTTCTTTAGATCTGTGTTCTATCATATCCTCTTCTATTTGATTATACATTCCTATATTTAATGTGTGGTAAATCGAGCAATTGGAAGTTAGTACAGATCATTTTAATGTCTTTTGTTTTTGCTGGTTCTCCTTATGGTACTTTGTTTCCTTGTGGTGGGTGTGTGTGTTAAGTTATTGTTTCATGTTTCTTAGAACTCTGGGAATTTGTTGAAGACTAGGTGGAAGGACATTTTTCCCAAGGGAATTTGATTTGTGTTTGCTTCTGCTGATGTCTAAGGGACTACCAATCCAGGACCAATTAAAAATAAAATGTTAGCTTAGGTTGCAGTCCATGTTTAAGTATTGGGAGTTCAGGCTGTTTTATGGCTGTAGATTCTAAGGAGAGCTTTCCTATACCCCTTTCTGCCTAACGTCAAAATCATGACATTCAAGTGCCTTCTTTACTAAGGGGTATTATAATTAGGATGCACCCTTTTAAGGTGCTGATTTATGGGAAGGTCTTTAAACACCTTTTCTACCTGGAGCAAATTTCCCTTTGGGGATATAAACTTGTGGCTTCTCTACACTCCAGCTTTTACTTTGTTTTGGGGTGCTGAATTTCCCTTTCTCCCTCCTTCCCAACCTCCCAGGCTCAACAATTCATTTAAAAATGAAAATGTAATCTCTGTGTTAGTTTTCAGTGATACCTGTGTACCTGCATTTGAGAATAATGCCTGGCATATGCTCAGTATTTATTGTTTGGCTGAATCAATATTTCATGGGGCATTTTTTAGTTGGTTTTGAGTGGAACATTTTGTTTTTTTGTTTATAGTATACTTTAGTACTAGAAACACATCTTAATCATTTTGTAGGTTTCAGCTGAAATTTCACTCCTTAGGTAAGCATTTCCTTGCTTCTGTTACATAGTCTCATTGTTCATTGTAATTAGAGGGGGGTAGTATTATTTCTATTTTTTATCGTCATCCATAGTTGAAAAAGTTTGATAGTTTTTCCCCTTCACATTCTTTATTTCTTTCTGTCCCTTATTTCTCTTCTCTCCTTATACCTGTTTTTCTTCCTTCCCTTTTTTGCCTGCCTCCTTCACTTCCCTTTTCCTTCTTTCCCTTTTTTATAGTGTCATTTTTCTTCTACTTGAAGACTTTTTAAATTTTTTTAATTATGTGTCATCTAGGCAAAATTATTTAAAGTCATTAAATTTTCATTTAAGGAATTTCACATGTTGTGGTTCCTTCCACAGACTATCCATCTTGGTTCCACCAAAGCTTGAGTCGTAAGCTCCAGTGTAGCTCTTTTAACAACTTTTACTTAAGTCCCAGTTGTCATGCCCATTAGTCCACAGTTCTTTTAGTTGGGCTTCTTTGATCTCTACTTAAATATGGACGTACTGATGACCTACAAATTTCCAACTGTAATCTTTGGGCCCAGTTTCATTAAGCAGTTTATTTTAGGGCCACTTTTAGGGTCAGAGTAGATGGATATGCTTGGTTGTCAATTTCAGACACCTTGTATATGTGTCAGTTCAAACTGTATTCACTCCTAACACACCCTAGAAAAGTACATACAGATCTTAGGATATACCAGTTCCTAAGATTAAAAAAAAAATGACTGTTAGATCTTGTATAGTATATCTATCCAGTAGTTCTTTCCTACAGATCTAACAAATAGTTGTGGACTTAAAACAAAACACATATTTATTCCATGAAGTGTTTCAAAGAATGTGGGTCTACAAGATTAAGACCCATCAGGATATACCTTAAATAAAAAACATTTTTCCATTGCATTTCTGATGGTGATGAATTCTTTTACATTTTATATGTCTGAAAAAGTCTTTATTTCATCTTCATTTTTGAAAGTTTTGTTGTTTTTGCTGGGTGTGGAATTCAAGATTGACAGGGTTTTTTGCTTTGTTTTTAGTATTTTAAAGATTTTGCTTTACTGTCTTCCAACTTAGATTATTTCTGACAAAAAATCTGTTATTCTTTAATCCTCTTTACATAATGTATCTTCTTCTCTCTGGCTACCATTAAGATTTTTTTTAATCACCTGTTTTACACTTTTTTTCTTTTTTTAAGATTTTATTTGAGAGTGAGAGCAGGAATGGTGGGGAGGGGCAGAGGAAGTGGGAGAAGCAGACTCCCTTCTCCATTCTAGGACCCTGAGATCATGACCTGAGCTGAAGGCAGACTCTTAATTGGCTGAGCCACCCAAGTACCCCTGATGTTATACATCTTGATTATGATGTATCTTGGTATAATTTTCTTCATGACTCTTGTGTTTGAGATTTATTGAACCTCTTGAATTTATGTTTATAGAGTTTTTACCAAATTTGGGGAATTTTTTATTCACTATTTCTTTAAATATTTATTCTATCTCTGTTATACTTTGGGGATTCACTTCAAATTGTCCCACAGCTTACTGATGTTTTAAATTCTTTTCTTTCCTCTGTGTTTTATTTTGGATAATTTTTATTGCTGTTTTCAAGTTCAGTAATTTTTTTTTCCTTTACCATGGCAGTTATTCTAACTTTTACATACAAAATGTAGTTATAATAATAACTGTTTCAGTGTTATTGCCTATTTATTCTATCCTATGTATCCTTTTCGATTTTTTTCTATTGATTTCTTCCCCATTACTTAGGTATTTTATTTTACTGCTTGTTTGAATGCCTAGTAATTTTTGTTTGGATGCCAGTCCTGGGAAATTTTACCTTTTCAGGCCTGTATAGTTGGTTTTTTGGTTAATATTCTTGAGCTTCCTTGGGGACAAAATTTAGTTACTTAGAAGCTGCTTGAGCCCTTTTTTTCTTTTAATCTTAAGGGGTTTTTTGTTTTTATTTTTGTTTTCCAAGGAACACTAGTAGCCTTTAGCCTAGGGCTAATTTTTCCAAACTACTGAGACTGTATTCTTCTGAGTACTCTACACAGTGCCATGTGAATTATATTTTAGTACTCTGACTTGTGGAAACAGCCCCATGTAAGTCCTGGAGTTTCCATTGTCTCTTTTTCCAGCGTCTGGCAGTTTGCTTTGTGCATATGTTGGTCAGTACTTAGCTGAAGACTCAAGAGGAACCTTGTTCAGATATCTATAACTCTTTTTCTTTGCAGCTGTCTTCTGTCTGGTGCTCTAGACTTTTTACTGTAGCTCCCTTGGCCTACCTAGACTCTGAGCTATACTTCCTCAATTCATGAAGATTTTTAAGTTCCACCAGGACTCCCTCCCCCTGCAGTGCAGCCCAGGAACTCCTCTAGTGTATTAGCAAGGGCAGTTGTAGGGCTCACATCAATTCTTTTCTTCTCTTTAGGGGTTATTGTCTTGAACTGCCTTATGCCCTATGTCTGAAAACCATTTCTTAATGTATTTTGTCCTTTTTTAAAGTTTCGGGTTAGGCAGGAGGGCAGGTTGTTCTTACTAATACATCTTGGTTAGAAGTACAAATCATAAGATTTCATTTTTTAAAAATTATGTTTTGGTTGAGAAGAGAGATGAGAAACCATTTCTGATAAAGAGAAAAGGCTTCTGTGTCCATATTCAGTTAAGGCTTGAATATTTTCTATTGTGTAAGACACTATGTTGTGTGTAATACACAAATATATCGTTAGACCTGTTCTCAGCACTTAAGGTCATTTTGGAAAGACACATAAAAGAGTATGGGTCAGTAAATATTTTACAGTTCATATATGTAGTCATCATAGCTCATGATTCTCTTTAACCTAAACAGTTGCATGATTTCCCTTGAATTCCCTTCCTCAAGATCTCCTAGAATCTAATAGACCCGTAAAAACAGTAGCCATTTTTCTCAACTGAGGTAATAATTTTACTAGTATTCCTAATGACATCAGTGTTGTTTGTGAAAGGCAAGGAAAAACTGGTAAAGTCCAAGGTTGGAGAAGATTGAAGAAACATAAAACTAAATGTAATGTGGATCCTGGAACAGAAAAAAGCTATTAGTGGAAAAACTGGTGAAATCTGTATGAAGTTGTTTATAGTTTTGGTACTTGTACTATGGTCTTTTAAGATGTTGCCACTAGGGGGAAGTGGGGCATATGGGAACTTGATACTATTTTTGCAAGTAATCTGTAAATCTAAAATTATTTACAAATAACAAATTTGTAAAACATGGGGACAGTGTTTGTGGACAGAGCTTATTACTATGTAGTTAAATTAGTCTTTTTGTTGAGGAGGTACCTCATTTGATTGTGGGTGACATTCATTTCTCTTGAGCAGTTTCAATTTTCCATAGAAGATACATAGTTTCAAAGGCATGACAGAGGTGGTTCTTACATTTTCATTCATAGCATTCTGTAAGCAAGTTAAGGGAAGAAAGAGGAGGATTGATTTTACAGTTACAAATGTAAGTCTTCATCTTTCAGGTTTCAGGTCCATGCTGCACCCTTCACCTGCACTTTGGCTAAGTACCAAGATTTAGAGCCTATGTACTTCATTTTTTTCTGGAGAACAAACCTTTGATCTTACTGGAGTCACAAGGAGTCGATGTTCTCCATGATAGCTGTGATAGGGAAACATCCTTGATCTGTCTAGAGTCTGTAGATTCCACCCTTCTGTGCTCAATTTGAGGTAAAAGTAATCATCTTATACAGGTTTTGCTATGATTGAGTTTTTATATGGATACATACATATCCATTTTATATGGATACATACATATAAATGTGCCTGTGTAACATGTATACACACATATATACACACACACAGTACTTTGAAGAGTATTTAATTATTAGTGCTTAATTTGTAGCAGGCCCACTTTATGAGACTGTTCAGGCAGTGCACTGTTTGGCTAACTCCAAAGAGTGCATATTCCCATGGATTACAGTGCAACCCAGTGGCTCTAAGTAGTATAATTCTTCTAGTGGGATTTTCTGATACAAAGGAGTCATGTCTCATAATATTGAACCATAAATCTGAAATACTCTCAAAACAACTTTTTAAAAAAGGAAATCTAACTTGAGAAACAAATTAAGGAAATGGAAATTTTTTAATCTCCCAGTTCTTTTCTGGTGCTTCTCATAGTATGGCACTTGAACCCCTGAAGGTTTCTGGCAGTCTATTAGGTATTTTGGAAGTGGTTGTCAATTTCAGTGGGAAAAGGCATACAACAGTTTTATTCATATATGTTTCAGATATGTAAAGAACATTAATTTTCAACATAATTCCATTAGCTTTAAAAATAATTGTGTGTCATGAAATTTTTGCCCTGTGCTGTAAGCAATGCATTGATCAGTTTGTGTCAAATAACACTCATGTAATGGCATGCATGGAGTAAGATGAGGGCACATTCATGCCCTACTCTGTAGGGCAGTGTTCCAGATCCTAAGGAGACAAGCAAACAAAAAGACAAAAACTTCTGTCCTCACGGGACAAAAATTTCTGACATTTTAGAGCATAGGGAGGCATTAAAGTAATAAAATACAATATAAATTACATGTTGATAATGTGGAGAAAAAATATTAAAATAAGAAAGGAGATAGAGAGTGCCTAAGGGGTTGGGGGAAAAAGTAGTGTAATTTTCAATAGATAAGGAAGTCCTCACTAAGATGACTCAGTACCTTTAATTGAGTGGGGTAAGAAACCATATAGATCTATATGTAGGGGAAAAGCCTTCCTGGAGAATAGAAATGCAAAGGCCTTGGAGATTGGAGTGGGCGGCAGGGGGTACTGTGGCAGGAACACGATAAGAGAAGTGGAAATGGTAGGAGATTTAGAAGTAAAAGTAACTTAAATAATACTTTGGAAGCTGTTGTAAATGTGTTTTCACGTCTATTCCCTTTGATTTGTAATGTTCCTTTATTTCTGAGCATCAAATGGATAAAGTAAGAGTTGAAATGTGATATCTAGCACATAGTAGATGCCTACTGAATGTTTATTGCATTAATTTATATGGCGAGGTGTTTAGAAGTATTTTAAAGATCCTGTGTTCCCTTGGTGATGGAATGCTTTTCATTTTTAACTACTTCATGTAACAATTTTTCTGATACTCTTCTATATTTAGAATACAATTTCAAAATATTTGCCACTTTCAGTAATATTTGTTATTGAATAGATGTTATCTTTGAATAATTTAAACATCTATTTTTATTAGCCTTAGTATTCATAATGGAATCTAGCTTTCTCTGAATCAATAATTCACTTAGTATTATAAAACAAAAATTCACATTTTTATAAAAGTAAATAAATCACATTTAAGTTCTATATTTAGATTGATTTCTTTAAAAATCTTTTCATTTTTCTCTTTATCATTTAGTTTGTTTCAAGTTATTTTAATTGAAGGGTCCTTATTTGTTTTTATCAGAGTGGAACACTTTTTTTAAAATTCCTTTTTTTTTTTTTCCTTTAATTAGACTTGTTTTGTGGCCTAATATGTGTGATCTATTCTGGAGAATGTTCCATGTGCACTTGAAAAGAATGTGTATTCTGTTTTAGGATGGAATGTTCTCAATCATTTCCTCCCAAGGAATATACTTACACCAGAAGTTATCCCTGGTTTTCAAAAAGTTCATTGGTCCATTTTTAGGAATTTAAGTACATCCATGTAGTCTCTGTCATTCTGCTGGTTGATGGTGTTAATATACATGAGAGTCTAAGATTTAATGTTGAATGCTTAGGAGAACAAGACAAGGTATACAAGGAGTGGATAGGCAAAGTATTTTAACATACTATCTTAGATGATTTCATGATTGCCAGGTAAGCCCTGTCCTTTCATTTTCTGAAAAAAGTGTGCAAGTTTATAGAAAGCTTTTGCCCGC